AGAAAGAAAGAAAGAAAGAAAGAAAGAAAGAAAGAAAGAAAGAAAGAAAGAAAGAAAGAAAGAAAGAAAGAAAGAAAGAAAGAAAGAAAAGAGGATTACCAGCAGCTCAGTTAAAATGGTGATGAGTACACCATTACAAGACCTGAAAGAATAGGTTAAGGACAGATCATCATGAAGAAAGTGTAGCTTATGTGATTGCTAAGAATTGGAAACAACTTAATAGCACATAATCAATCAATCAAATATACACTATCTGCATTTATGAAAAGAAACTATATTATAAACAATAAGAAGCCAAAATTGAACATGTTCTGGATGATGATTTACAGAAAAGGCAATCTACATTTATTGAAATCTTGTCTGTTCTACATAAAAAAATGTTTTCACTGATCAGAATTAATTTATTGCTAATTAATTCTAGAGGTATAGCATAATAATATCCCTTTACAAGACTGCCTTTTTTCCCTGCTAATCAGCTTCTTGTATTTAGTAGCACTGTGCTATATACTAACCTGGGCACTTCCACCCAATGATGTCTTTATTAATCAGTCTCTGTGTCAATCACATAAAGGAAACTTGTTTTTTTCTACAAATGGATTTGTCTGTACAATTAAATTCTGGCAATGACTAATTTGATAAGAATTAACAGGGTCATTGAATAATGTACAAAGCAGTTTTAAAAAAACAAATACCATGATAAGTATTAGACCAGAAACTAAAAATTAGTTCTGTGCAATGTTTTGGATTGCATTTCAAAAGGGGTATGTGAATTTATCTGCACCTCTTTAAAGCAGTCAAATCTTTTCCTGGGATATGTTAGCTGCAGAGAGCAGCATGTGATCCTGGGAATAGAGATGGCTGCTTTAAAAAGTTGCAGTCAAGGGCATAGATATCTCTCTTGATGCTGTTGATCATGTTGGTGTGCATTGTGACAACAGGATATGAACTCTACCCTTTCGTATTTGCACATGATGTGGTACAGCTTAAGTTGCAATGGATGTTTTGTCTTTACTTCCTTCAGATGCCTGTGGACAATGCATATTTTATAAATTATTTATGGAATGATATATAGCAATACTAAAAGTAAAAGAGTCAAAACCAAAATGTTTTCACATAAATCCATGATGTTCCCTTTAAATACTATGTACCGGCTAAACTATCCCATCCCTACAGCTGGAATAAATACAAATGAATGCTGTCAGAAGGGCAAATTGAGCCTTTTATTTTTACATAATGGTTATTACATGCATGTTGTCATTTTGGCACCACTGTGGTTTGCTTTTGGATACACTGATAGGCACCTTCATGGGTCCAAAATTACTATTATCTAGAGATCCAGCTGGACTTCAACAGTGATCAGAAGTGCATTTACTTATTTGAGGGATGGCAAGGCTAATCAAGAAACTCATTAGGTTTAGCAGTCAAAGCAAGAATAAACTTCTCAATACTAACTGCTGAAGAATCAAATGGGCTACTTGAGTTTTGCTTCCACCTCTAGTTGGCCATTGAGGAAAAAATATGCACGGCTTATCTTGAGTCTTTAGTTTAATCCATACAGGATCCTTTGGCCGTAAATTATTGCACAAAATTGCTATCTATCTCTCTCTCATCTGAATCCTTTAATCACACACACATACATGCACAGAGACCACTCACTCTTTTTCGCTACTCTGACTGCAAACACCCTTTTCTGACAACGCGTTGTATTTATACATGAAGGTACATTTAAACACAAATACAAAAACTCTTCGCCCCCCAACCCGCCACAAAACATGTGTAACAGCTCCCTAGGTAACCGGCACCAGGGGGAGACCTCCTGCATTTCTGCAAGATATTATGCTTTCATCTAAACAGATTTCTTCCCACGCTGCCGTTCTGGATAACTACAGTATGAATTTGAGCAGGATTGTGTTTTGGTGTTGTTGGGGTTTTTTTTTTAACCGTCTAAACTGGAGACCTTAGTTTTATAAAAGTTATTCTGTTAGGGTTGAGTCGCCAAGAGGGCTACTAAACGCCAGCCGTACCTGGTAAACGTCGGGCATGTTGACGGTCTCGCCGTGCTCGGCTACATAACCGACGGTGCTTTTGCCCCAGAGCAGCTGCATCTCGTTGGAGTTCTCCGTGCTGTAGCAAGGCAGGACGGGGGCGCCGCCGTGCACGTCGAAGACCTTGGAGACCAAGCTCTTCTTCCCGCCGCCGCTGCCTTCCACCAGGAAAAGGGAGCCCCTCTCGGCGTCCACCATAAGGCAGACGAAGATGAGGATCTTGTAGCTGAGGGTGCTGAGGTCCAAGTCGTTGGAAATGTCCTTGACGAGCTCCAGAAAGAACTGCCGCTCGTTGTGCTGCTTCAGGTAGCGCTTGTAGTCCAAAGCGGTGGGCGGGTACTGGGGCAGGTTGACCCGGGACTCGAGCAGGGCGCTGAGCAGGTGCGCCGTCGTGGGCGGCAGGGAGCTGGCCTTCCTCAGCAGCGCCCTTCTCCTGGCGCTGCTCAGCGGCTCCTGAGCCCGGGCGTGGAGGTGCTCGTCGTAAGTCAGGTTCACGTGGATCGCCTTGGAGCGCGCGAAACTTTTCCGCAGCTCTTTCTGGGAGCCTCGGTGTTGCAGCAGCCCGCCAGCCGTCGGCTCCGGGCCGGGAGGAGCTGTGGACGAGGGGCTGCTCCGCGGCGAGAGGCCGTTGTGGTGGTGGCGGCTGCTGGGCTGCTTTGCCGCCCCGCCGTCGCCGAAGTCAGGCGCTCCAGCGGGAGCTTCTTTACTACTAAGGAGGGCGGTTCTCCTCTTCAGCCACTTCTCCACCAGCTCCGGGTGTCTGTCTAAGAAACATTCCACCGCGGCGGAGTCCAAGCCGGCGGGGTTTGCCATGATTCCCGGGTAGCCTCGCCTTCCCCCGCCTGGAGGAACTTTAGACGCTACTTATGCCTCATGCCGCAGCCTCCGTTGATCAGAAAAGGCGGTGGGAAGTCTAAGCCACTAATTCCATGTCCCGAGGAAAGCACCCGATCTGCTTACAACAAGGCATGGAGCCCTCCTCGCACGGTACATCCGAAGCCGTCCGGGGCGCACCGCCGAATGGAGAAACTCAACGTTGACCTCTGCGCCTTGCTGGGCAATGCTCTGCTTTTTCGCCCCATTTCCTGTTCATTTGGTTAGCGAGCTGCCTCTTCCCTGCTCCCTGCAAGCTGGTCTCTTTCTTTCTCGATTTTACTTCGGCTTGTCCATATTCCACCCAAGCGCAAGCGCTCGCATATACGCACAGACCCCGTTTGCTTCCCGCGTCCGGGTGTTTCTTGCGGACTTTCTTGCTCTCCCTCAAGCGGAGCTGCCGCGGATTCTCCGGGGACGGCCGTCAAAACCCTTCCTTGCTCAACTATACTGCTCCTGCCGGCGACGGCGGCTGCGTAACCCGGCCAGAACAGAGCATTGAAGAAACGAGGGCGGGGAGGGGAGGGCGCACGGGCCGAGCGAGCGAGGGAGGGAGGGGAAGAGATACAAAGCAGAAGCCGGCGGCGAAAGAGGCAGCGCCTTCTCTTCTGCCTGGAGGCGGTATTTTTTTGTGCTGGAATTCGTGCAGCAGAATGAATGAAGGCGTCAAAAGGGGAGGGGCGGACATCGATCGCTGTTCCCCCCCCCCCCCCCCGTCTTCTCATAAAGCCGAAACAGGGATTGCACCAGCGCGGTACATACAGCACTGGCTAATGGCTTGCGAAACATCTCTCGGCGTATTCCAAGTCTTCCATGAAGATGATGGAGCTCGGCGGTAGATGCCGCTGGGCAGAAGATGGAGTTGGGGGGGGGGGACTACAAGAGACGAAATATTTTGAATGCTAGTGAAAGAATATAGGGTAGAGATGCGTGTGCGCGCGTATGCGATTTGGCGCGACGCGTTTATGTTTTGAGGTTGCGAGTTTTGTCGGGGCGTAAGTTTGTTAGGGGGGGAGTGAAAGCCGAGGCATTTCAAAAAGCCTCAGTCAGACCTTTTAAAGCTCCTGACACACTCGTTTTAAATACCCCGTTTTCCGGAAAATAAGACCTCCCGCATAATAAGCCCAACCAGACTTTTGAGCACCTGTGCTAAAATAAGTCCTCTTTGGAAAATATGCCCTCCTGGAAAATATTACAACACCGCAGCAGCCATGAGGTGACCACACTCATCTCCTACACCTCAGAAATAATGACCTCCCCGAAAATAAGGCCAAGTGCTTATTTTGAGGGGGAGGGGGGCAAAAGAAAATAAGAACCTGTCTTATTTTCAGGGAAACGCGGTACAATTATGAAGACTTTGGCCTTCCTGTTTTTAATGGGATGGTCCCAAATAGGACAATTCTTCCCCCCCCTCCCCGCCGTCTTACATTTCCATTAATATTTAAAATTCTCTTTTTGTAGGATGTTTTAAGGAAAGCAGCTTTGGCAAGCTGTGAGTTAACAGCTGTAGTTTGTTGATGTCTCCTTACTTTCCTATAACCCTGTGTGACTCCATCCTTCATTACATCCATAAGAAATGGATCCTTCTACAGCAGGAACCCTATGTAGGACAGCTCAAAAATAACCCCACTAAATGAAAATGGGGTTCCATTCAAGAAGGCAGGCATGGGCCTCCTGATTCTGATTTGTATGATTTATTATTATTATTATTGCTTGTTGGAATGAATGTCTCCTGCACAAAATGACTTGCTGATAAATATCGCTGCCTCTTTTTCTCTTAAAAGAGAAGGTGGCAAGATATCGGAGGCAGTGTCTTTCTCTTCAGTTTTCACAAAACCCTAAGGATAATGACAAAAACCCAGAGTCGGGGACAGCTGGCTGGCTTGTACAACCGGGTGCTCCCCCAAATGGCTAAGCACATGGTTGCCTTTCCACAGAAATGTGCAAATGGCTAAGGTCTGCTGGAGGAACTGCAAACATGCAGTTTCCGTGCCTCCTCCTGCAGCGAGACAAAAATCTGGGCAGCCTCCATTGAGATGGACTGACGTGGAGCTATTCTTATCCACACGTGGAGGAGCACATTTCATAGCTAAATTGAAGTTATGGATCTCAGCATGTGAGGATGCAAGGACATGAATGAAAGCCGTTTCAAATATTCATGAATGAGATGTCAGGCCTTCACCAAGGGTGCCCAGTACACAGCAAGCCTTCAGTTGAAATATCTTAAGAACTCAACAGGCTTGGAAGGGAAAGAAAATAAGCCTGAAGCTCACCGGGAAATGTTTTTGTGCTAAAGCTCAATTCAAGGAACCGGTTGTTATATTAAGCAAATAGTATGTGTGTGCAGAGTTCCTTTCTCAGAATTTTCACCAATGATTGCAGAATTAGATTCCACACTTGACCAAAGAAATAGGTTCACAAAGCATATTGAGCTCTAGATTTTTAAAATGATAAACTTGAGGACAGATCCAAAAAAAGAGTTGAAGAGATCAAAGACCAACATATGGAACTTGATGAAGCGGAGATGATCCTTAATGGAGGAGCAGCATACTAACTTGGTCAGTAACAGTAACTGAAATGAACAAAAGAATGGTCACTTCGAAAACTGTGACCTAAATATATGTCCCAGATTATATAGCTGAATCAAGCAAAATAGATGCAAGAAAGTAGCACAAAATAAACACCGGCTTCTCAGCGCTGCAATATTTGCGATTTCACTGCAATTAGATTTCACTTATATTGCTAAGAATCATTTCCATTTTGCTTGCTTGGCTACCTCACTTGATGATGGGCTTGGAAAGATGATGGGCTTCCAAAGAAACCCTCTCCAATTGTTCGCTTTTCCTGGGGAAGTAGCATAGCAGGAGCTGCAAAGCTTCCAGAAGGTTGTTGGCACAACCAGGGGTTCCTTTTTAAGCATGCTCCAAGTGGAAAGAAATTCCAAACAGGCCCTGCTGGTAAATTTTGTATGCCACAACGTGCCAAGAGCCCCTTTGCAAGAATAGGCCAATTTCATCTGATCAGATTTCTATTCTCTCTGTTCTCAATCACTCTCACACAATTTCCCTCCAGGGCAGTGGATGAAAAAGCTTAATGGATTTTATATGCCCTAGATCGCGATGGTGAATCTCTTTTGGCTCACGTGCCATAAGCAGGGAGAGCACAGGGGGGGTCATGCATGGGCATGCCACACCCATAATGCAATGAGTGACCCCTCCAACGTGCATGTGCGCATGGCAGGCACCACTTCTTATTTTTCACATTCTTTTTTTGCCTTTTCCAGGCTCCAGGGGCTTTAAAGGAGTTTGGGGAGAGCGAAAACAGCCTCCCCCACCCACCCTGGAGGCCCTCTAGAGGCTTCAGGAGCTTCCCTGAAGCCCCTGGAGCGCAAAAAAAAAAACCCTACGGGCAAACTGGAAGTTTGGGAATGGGTTTCCAGTTTGCTCATAGGCCCGGTTTAAGTCCTCCGGAGCCTTCAGAGGCCTTCCGGAGACTTCCCTGAAGGCTCTGGAGAACTAAAAACAGCCCTACGAGTAAACCATAATTAACTCCGGTTTGTCCATTGGGTCATTTTTTGTCCTCCGGAGCGCTCCAGAGGCTTCAGGGAAGCTCCTGAATCCTCCGGGGGGGAGGGGAGGCTGTTTTCTCCCTCCCCAGGCTCCTATAAAGCCTCTGGAGCCTGGGGAGAGCAGAAAATGGCTTTAAAAAAGGCTGAACTCAGCTGGCCAGTGCATGCATGCACGCTGGCCAGCTGACAGGGCAACGCCTCGTGTCCCCTGACAAATGACTCCGCATGCCACCTGTCGCACACGTGCCATAGGTTCACCATCCCGGCCCTAGATGGTTTTAGAATAAGGCAGAAAGCAGTTATGCGCAGCTAAAGGTGCCTTAGTTATGTGTTGGGGCGCAGCTAAAGAGAGGGTCCTGAGGATACAGCAGAAAAAAAAGATAGCCAAGACATGTTTGTGATGGAAATGATGAAAGGCAATTTATTGATAATATGCTCAGGAAAACCAAAGTACTGTTGCTCCTGCTGGGTTCTTTTTAAGAATCTGAGGCACCCAGAAACAGATTTATTTTGGAATTAGAATGTGATTGTCTCTTATCCTCAAAGCAGTTGCATAAGCCATTATGTGAACCGCTTAGCTAAAGTTTGGATTACAATAAGTATTTTCCAGCTTTCCCTCGCTTAATGCTTTGTTGACATCTTGGACTTTTAATTTAGTCATTCTCTCTGATTCTGGTAGTAGAATTCTAGATGCTTGTTGGACAGTGGATTTCAAGAACATCTAGTTACTGAATGTGGTTTTACCAAGGGGAGGGGGGAGAATCCCACTAAGTTCAATCCCGCTTTTCCCTTTACAGTATATTTGGGAATTAAAGAAATTACCTGCAATGCATGATCTTTGGAAGTCTTTTATGATCTCTTGTCTCAAAATCCATTTATCATAATGTTTTTGCCTCTCTCCTTGCTGCAAAACATGTTTGTATGGCTACAGCAGGAATCTATGCTTTATCATAGAAAGGCTATTGTGCAGACCAGAAATAGGCATGCTTAAATTAGTTGATTTAAATTGACTTAGATGTGTCTAATTCAATATCGAACTGGCAGGCTCATAATCTATCTTACAAATGCACATTAGGAAAAAGAAATACTGATCTTCATCCATGCTCCAAATATTTGGAATTAGAAAAGAATTGGACAAACAGGAGAGTCACTTGTTCCATTAATTTCACCAAAAAACCCCACCTCTGAATAAAACATATTCTCTTCTGATTATTTTCTCCTTTAAACTACATTTAATCCTCTACTGCCTGTACAATATTTCATCAATCTGGTAAATTAAGGATGTTTATATTGTAATATTTCACCATAGCTGATTTCTTTGCTCTTATTATGTCAACTAAAGCCAAGAAATTTTCTATTGCAGCTCCAGCTG